TGAATTTGGATGAGTTAGGTTTAGGACAGCATAGTATTAGCATAGGCGTAGGCCATGTTTTGATTTTTTTTGTTTTTTGATGAATTTGGGTTTGTGAGAAAATTCCTGTTTCCATCAAATGAGGTCATGGGGCTTAGATCAGAGAACTCTTCCCACGACATCCCATACAGATATACTGTAAAAGGATTAGTCTGGCTTTTTCAGGCTGATCCAAGATTCCGAAATCACATCAGCCCTTCATCCATTCCTCCAAGGTTCCGATAAATTCTCCAACAATTACCCTCCCTGCAACAAACATAAAAGTGGGCAACCCTGGGCAACCCCCTCTTGGTATTCAGAAAATGGTCTTCCAACGGGCCATGCCATCCACGTAACCATGTTGGTTCCAGGGAGCAAAAAGCCAGTATAGCTGCTGCTTCAAACCCACCTTCTCCTGCGCTACGCAGGCAGCCACACCAGGGCCGCTTACCGCTGGCCGCTCACCGCTGACAGCTGCGCGGAGCGAGATGAGCTCGGCGATGAGCGCGGCACACCGGATGGCTGAAGAACTCTTGAAGCAGCCAAAGGAGAGGGACACGGAAAGAAACACAGAGCACGGGTGTTTTCTGAGGTGAGCATGGTACGAACATCGAACGAACATGAAAGACGAAGAATGGACATAGACAGAAGTGGATGCCAGTGGTTTTTCCTCTTTTGCTTTGGGAAGTCCAGCAAAAACTGGTCATTTGGGGGCGGATTGTGAGCGCCTTGTTCCACCTCCTGGTGTTCTTTTCGGGTGAAAAATGAGGGTGCTCGGGTGGAACGATGTGCGAGTGACGGACGGGGGGTTTTGCGCGCCAAAGCGGTGAGAAAACGTGCCACGTGCCAGGCAGCCAGATCAGGATTTGGGGTTTTGAGCGTTTGGACGCAACATGACACAACCTCGGGACTTCGGACTTGTGTACAATGCAGTGAAATCAGTGGAGACAGGTAGGTATTCAGTTCAGCCCCTGTAGGAAGTGACTTGTTTGCTGTGTTGTTTTCACATTTCTATCAGTGACTCCTGTGACTCCTGTGCCAGGATCAGCCAAAGCCTTTCTTGCGGATTCAGCCTGCGCCCTGTGAAGCTGACAGCATGCATAGGCGAATCCGGATGTCGGGCTAAGGAAAACCTTAAATTGTTCTCTTGGAGGGTACCTGACCGGCAGAGGCACACTCCCCAAAAAACAGAAGACGCGTTGAACATGTGCTTTCCTTCGGGTGGAGTGCTAAAAACTTCAAAGATTCTCTAAGATAGCATGCCTCGATGTTGTAGAGGCACGATAATCATCGATTTCCATCCAGGAAGTGACTGGCACGAGGCATTGAACACTGGATCTTATGGCCATCCCACTCACTCAGACTCAGAGGACGAGACAAAGCAAAAGGGCTCCATTTGCCGAGAGCACTCATCTGTTATCAGGTCATATGCCTATTGTTCTCCACACGAAGCTTGATGTTCTTAGTATAAAGTTTTGCATGCTGCAGCATGATTCTTGTTGCTCACTCCATGTTTCATTCTGCAAGGCATCTGGTAGAGAAGGCCAGCGCTGATCGCTTTGCTGCTTGACATCGATAAGGAACACAAATGCCTTTGCAGGACACAATTGAGGACCATTCTATCTCATCCTTGCCATGTCACAGAGGCTTTCCTGTTTGGTCTTTCTCCCGCAGATGTCAGGGCTCTTGACTTTCCAGCTGAAAATCGGATTGGCGAATCGGCTTGTGGGTCATGGCACCAGGATACCTTATTGGAATGCTTCCTGGACCAGGTCTTTCATGGTGGACGAACGGGTTGGTATCTTCTGCCGACTGTAGACTCGTCCCCGCGCTGGTTCCATCGTCTCGAAGACGTGGAGCTTCGATACCTGGGGCCTCCGATCTGCAGCGGCATGAGAAGTCATATATATCTAAGTCATAAGACGAACGGTCATTCACGCCATGTCTTGCCATGTCTTGCAGGATTTTGTCCTCGGTAGATTCGTTGCCGGGGGATGCTGGAACTGTGACCGAAGCATTATAGATCTAGATGGGAGTTCAGGAGCTGATGCGCATCGCGATGCCGGTATGAGAACTGCACCGAGGTGGTGCAATCTGTTTTGAAGCTGTACTGAAAAGTACTATAGAGAACAAAATTCCAACATATCTTAGAGGGACCCCATTTTCCTTCTCCATTTGGGAATCACTTTTAGAAGAGAGCATGTGACCACTACCACGGCGGTGCAGCGCGCTTCCAACTCCAGGTTTGGCCGCCGGAAGCCCCGCAGCACCTACCGCGCCCTGTCAGCCAATCTGCACTCGGTCGAGCAGCGACTGTGAAGCCGGCGATGGAGCCAGATCCAGTGGCATATCCACGTGCACGGGAGTTGGCTGAGCAAAAGAGGCTTTTGGAAGAGAAGAAGAGTTTGAAGACCCAGGTCAGCAAGGGACATACTGGCCGTGGCTTGTTTGGTGGCAGTTTACAGCAGATGAAAGCACTTCAAGAACAACAGCAACGAGCTTTGGCCGAACTGTTCAGCTTTTGAGGTCTTTTTCGGAGCCGGAGGCTTCTGTGCCAAGAACTCCAAAACTACTTTTGGGGCATTGGAGGTTTGATGCCTTTATAGACACGGTGTGGTGGCAAGAAAAGACACTTGTTTTGGTGGCAATTCTCCCTTCACATCTGATTCATGCCACATTCTCCACCAAACCAATCTTTGATGAGCTTGAACAAATCGCCACCGATGTTTTCTGCTCTTAGGTCTAATCTCGCAGAGAGGCTACACCCCTCCACCTGCGACGCAAGCACCTGCAGCCACCCTCCGCACCGCCATGCTGGAACCAACGACCCTTCCAGCGAGGTCCGTAAGCCCCCGCGCGGCCAGACCCACGGCGCTCTCTGCTCGACCCATGGCAAGTCGAACGACACCGCCAAGAGCGCGGCCCAAAGCTTCAGCGCAAGCGACGCCCCAACGCCCCAGCAGCCCCACACGCCCCACAAGCGCACGCACCAACAGCCCGACACGCCCTAGCAGTCCGACACGCCCCACAAGCCCCCGCTCCAGCAGCCCTACACGCCCAAGAAGTCCAACCAACACGACACCTTTACGGCCAGCCAGCCCACCAACTTCCCCGCGATCTCAGTCACAGCAACGCTCACATTCCTTCAGCCCTCGAAAGCC